TGATCTGCTCCTCTGAGAATTGCACAACTCCCAAGGTATGGTCTATGGACACTGTGGATCACCACCGACCAAGTGGAAACCCCACCGACCATGTCCGGATGGTCATCGACCATTTGTTGAGCTCTCGGCCATCAATAATTGGTCGGTCGGCACTCCATGTAGTCGACCGGCCAAGTCTTCCTACAAAACCTGTTTTGACAGCAGCAGAGGGCAAAACAAGGCATGGCAATGTATTTCAAGCAAATGTGTGCACCAACACATCCCTTATCATGTTTGTGACTCAAAGGGGTATGTTTCTTGATTCTCGGACCACTAATCGCGCATTTCAATGCGTGATGGCCCAAGGAACCAAGTCGTGCATTTTGATTTCAAATGAAATGCAATGCATAGAAACATACCAAGGGGCTTTCAACCTCTATCATACTCAATTCAAGAGGTGAAGCATGCATGCCAATGCAATACATCCTAGGTATGGAGGCTAGTATGCAACATGGCAATGCAATGTGTAATGTAGGTTAGGCACACAACCTAAGTAAAGAAGCATGTAAGGCATGAAGTAATGCAACCTACAAGTATGCAAGACACAATGTGTATGTTCAAGCATGCAAGCAAGCATGTGACTTCATTTAATCATGCAACAACACACTAGTATGCAACAACACACAAGGTGATCATGCAACAACATGCAAAGGGGTGGACTTAAACTAATTTAGGCAGCCCCAAACAAGCCTAAAACAGTGGCCAATGCTATGGAAATGAGGGCCTACACACACACACACATGTACATGCTGATGGGCCAACACTTAAGCATCAAACAAGCAATCTTTAAGCACACTTAAAAGAGCCTAAACATGGACAATTAGCATGCAATGTAAACTCTGGAAATCATGTTAATGATGGTGCCAAACCAATTTAAACAAGACAAACATGCAATTGATCCAAGTACTTGAGGCAAGTCAAGGAGACTTAAACCATAGCTAAGTCAACCTAGCCTCTCAAGGCCAAAAGGACTTAAAATAGGTTCAAGGCAGCCCTAGACAATGCTAAGGGAACACCTAGATGGCATCTAAGTGGCTTAAACATGCAAGCATACAAAGGAGCACATTCATGGAGCATGAGGCAACAACCTTTTAAAGCAACAAAGGGGTATCAAATGCAAGTATGCAAGCATGTTATAAGGACTGAAATAACATGGTAAGTGGTTCCAAACCACTGAAATAGTGCAAATAATGCATGCCACACACTCACACACCTAAGGCTAACAAGCCAAAATGCAAGGTGGCTATACTAAGCATGCTATGGTCGACCAAAACGACCAAGAACAGAACTTAAGCATGCTAAAACAAACACAAAAGCTTCACAAAGCTTGGCCAAAATCATGCTAGAACAAGGATCAAAACCTAAAGCATGTTAAGGCCAAAACATGGCATTACAAGGCATGTATGCTAAACAAGTATGGTGTACCTAAACCAACTTAACACAATGTTATATCATGGTAATATAAGCACAAAAATCAGTTAAGGCATGATCAACATGAACCTAAACTAGATGCTCCCTCAAGAGGCAAAAATGGCCATTTTCAAGGACAACAAGGAGAGGGGGTGGCTCTCTCCTTCTTAGGACCTCAAGGCACCATCCTCACCACTAAAATCCCTCAAGATTTCAGTGGTGAGGAGGCCCAAACACAATGGTCCCGGAGCTCACCAAAATGGCACAAAAAAAGGGTCAAATAAGCCCTAAAAGGGGTCAAACAACCTCAAAGCTCAAAACACTCTTAAACAACTATTTAGAGGACTCAAAAACAAAAATTTTATATATTATATGCCAAGCCTAAAAATAGTTGCAAGATAGGTAAAAAAGCTATGCAAAAATGGGGTATTTAAAGGTAAAGTCCTTACCCTTGAAGACCTCTTTCAAGAACAGCACTCCAGCATCTTCTTTGGCTCCAAACTAGTCTAAAAACTTCAAGAACAGCCTCTTAGTACCTCAGTAGCTAAAGGAAGGTGTAATGGTGGGTGTTTGTGCACAAAAGTAAGACAAAACACACACTAATGCTAGAAAGAGGGAGATATAAATATAGGATAGATACACAACTCAAATCCTAAAACCAGAGCTCTCTATCTTAATCTTGTCCAACCTAAAAGAGGGAGAAGAGGCCTCCTCTTATAGAAGGTTCAATCTTGCAAGCTTACAAGACAAGCTAGCCAAGAGTGAGATCCCTCCATACACGTGTATGGAGGGGAACAAAGTGTATGCCAGCTAGCATAAAATATCTGCAAAAGCAGATGCACAGTGGTCGGCCGGCAAAAATTGCAATTTAGCCAAAAAAAATGGCCGATCAACCATCTATAGTGCCGGCCAGCCAAACATTTGGCCGATGGAAACAAAACACAGCCGGTGGCCTCAAGCCATGGCTGGTGATGTGTGGGGATGGCCCACAAGCCATTCCCTGCCCTCCACAGCAAAAACACAAGTGTTTGGTGCAAAACCAAACACAAAACAGTCGAGTCGAGAGGTCCTGAAGCAAGGCGCGTAGCCAAGACCAGGCGCGTAGCCAAGACCTCCGAGAACTCAAGACAAACACAAACAAGGATGATCACCGAGTGTTCAAACGGTGACGCGCAAGTCTTGAGGACGGTCAAAAATGGGGTGTCTACACTATGTTAATTTGTGGTTAAGCAAGCTCCAAATGCTCTTTTGGAAGAATCAAATTTTTATACACTACTCAAAACGGACTTCTTAAAACATAGTTCTTTCTAATGTTGTAACTACAACCCTTTATTCATCAAATAGAGGTTAATATACAAAGTATGATTGATCCATCCAATAACATTGGTAGGGAACTGTAACAACATGTATTCCAAGTAATCATCTGAAACTGACCCTGTATTAGATTTGAAAAAGGATTGAGAAAAATGAATCACCTGAAAATAAGCAAAACAATCACAAAAGTCTCAACATAGCAAACAAAATGACCTCAACAATCAAATCTCATTTTTGAATTATGCTTTCCTCTTGGAACAAACCTAAGGAAGTGCAAATATGTCGGTTATGCCCTCATACATTTTTGGGAAATTATGAATGAGTAGAATTTGAAATAAATCACAAGTGAACAATATCAGTTATCTTTTCCAAAGATTTTGGTTTTGGAAAACTAATGAGATTCACCCTCATACATTCTAGGCAAATGACGAATGAATGGAATTTGAAATACATCATAAGGGAACAATATCAGTTATCTTTCCAATTTTTTTGGTTTTGGGAAACTAAAGAGAAAAGAATTGGGATCTTTAACACATCTTAGAAGCCAATGATTTGTTACTATATATTTATAATGAAAGAAGATAGTTCAAATGTCATCATAAGGATCCAAAAAAAAAACGGACCCATGGAGAATGCAAAGCATCCTCTATAAGCTACTGATCTAGCAACCACATTTGAGTGCTCCATCAAACAGTTACCAAGATTGGCCAAGGTGGAGAGTCCTTAACAAAAGAAGAGAATCAAAACTGGAGGACATCTGAATCTCACTACCCTGATTTTGTGAAGTTAGTTTTCAGTCGCTTCACAGTTCATTGAGACTAGACTTCATGAGTTATTCCATAGGATCTCTTCCTTTGCTCTCTTCAGTTAGTCTTCTGCTTTAACATAATCTCTAACGATTCTCATCCCCCCAAAAAATTAGAAAGTATACGCAAGAGGGAAATTTTCACATCAACTACTCTAAAATTCTATAATCATAAGCCACAACTTAATGTCATTTGCAGATTATGTCATTATTTCCTTGACAGCATACAAAGTTGTGACCACAAAAAACTATTCACAGTTGTCAAACTTTATGACTTCTGAAAGACTCCATGCTTGGAATAGAAGCAAGAAAGTATATCACTCACTACCACTGCAATTTTCCAACAACTAAAGGGTCAATTTAGAAAACACAATAGGCTACGAGCACAGTTGAGTTGCTTAATCATAATCTGAGAATATTATGCAAGTTTCAACCATGTCTCCATGAATCTCAACGCACTTACAATACTCCTTAAATTTCCATCAGTTTCCACAATTAATTCTATTCTTGAGTATCATGAAATAGAACACTAACCAATTGAACAATAGACTCATCAAATCCTCGAATTGACTCATCTCACACAAGGCTTAAAAGAAATTACAAGAACAATTAAGACTCTCCTACAAAACCACATGGAAATTCAATCTAAGGGAATAACATGACCATGCACATATAATCAGCTCCCCTTCATCATCATCGCCTTATTTTTTCGACAACGTCATCAACAATAATGTACAGGTTCTCATGATACCTAAACCCAAAAGCTCAAATAGATATTGTAAACCCAAAAGCTCAAATAGATACTGCACATTAGCACTGGAAAATACAGATTGCCATACTACCGCAATAATCACATTAACTTGTACCATGGTAACATACTCCCATTCATCAATATTAGAGCATAACAAGTGTCAGCTAGTAATCGAGTACAGAGATGAATTACTTACCGAGCCATGCCAATCAGCACGATGGATAGTACCAAAAGAACCTGGAAATGCACCAAGTCACTTGGTTTCAGTATAACTTCCTACAACATAAAAAGAAAAAGCCACTTTGCAACATTGAGAAAGGTACATGACCTCCTTAAGCTACAAAACAGCTATATTGTTAGCATTCTAATGTTTTTCCAACGGGGAGGAAAACAATACCTGATCCAATTCTCTCTTTCAGAACGAGGTCACTCCATGGAATGTCCAAATCTTCCACATCAAGGGATAGTTTTTTACTTGGTTGCCTTGGAACCATTTGACATCCCTCAACAAACCTCAAATCTTTTGCATCTCCCCTTGGATCAGACAAGCCTACAAGTGGTTGAACTTCTCTAAAAATAATTTTTTCACCTTTCCTTAACCTCCTCATCCTTGACTAACACCTTCAAATCCTCACTTTTATATACTTAACCTGATTATATGTCTTATTTCATTTCTCTCAATTTAGGAAATTTATAAATATTATTTTCTCCATCTTTACTATCTAATCTAGAATAAAGATTGGTGTAGGCTTTTAGCTTAGCATCCCTAATTATCCTTTTAACCTCCTTATTCGCCAATTTATATCTCTTAAAATCTTCATCCTTTTTTATCCTCTTGTCATTTTTCAAACCATTCATTACATACATATTGATCATATAACCAAATTATTAGAAAAGGATCATACTTTTGAATTATTGTTTGATGTTTTAGCATTGTCAGTTGAAATCTGAGATAAATCTTCATCATCATCAAGAATATCATCATCGATCCTGCGAACGACCTCTCTTGGTGCCTGAGAAAGAATTTTGACACCAAGTAAATCTCACGAGTACAAACTACCAGAAAACAGAGGCAGCAATATAGCAAAGTAGTAGTAGTTTGACAATGATATACTCACTCCAAAAAATGATTTTATGAGTGCTTCATCCTCTTCTTCCAACTTCTTTTCCTGTTGACAAAAAAAATCCCGTGACTTAGTAAGAACTGATGGTGATAAAATAGTATTCAAATTCACATGTTTTGAGTTCCTATGCTGCCTTGACAAATTCACATTGCAGCTATGATGTGGTCAAATAGCTATACCTCTGGATGGTTTGTTATGACATCAATTGATCCAACAATTTAAGTACAGAAATAGTCAATAGAGAATGAAGATTGGAAATCAAATTTATAAAACCCCAAAAGCAAAAACCTGCTAAAAAGTGGAAAGCATAATAAAGCTCACACAAACCTTGTTGGCTAATCCTTGGGAAGCAGCAAGACCTTCAGCCATTTGGGTTTGGACGGGGCTCAGGGTGATGCCTTGGCATTGGGCCTCACATTTCCTAGCTAGATATCTAGAACTGCCTCCAATTCCACATCCAACATCAACAATACTCTTAGGTCTCTTCATTGGATCCTCTGCAAACCAATTCATCAAAATATTAAAATATAAAGAAAAGAAACATGTAGAAGGTAACCTCCATTCACAAATATGCATATGAGAGAATAGTGAATCATGAATCATAAGATTCACTTTATTTAGCATATTATATAATTTTATATATATATCTATAAACTATAAACACATAAAAATATATACAGGATTTAGAATGAAATAAATATCAATATTACTAAATTATATAGGTGTATACAGTATATACATATAAAACCACCTATATCAATATAATTGGTTGATCATTAACAAAACCTGAAGCTCAGAAGCAACAACAAAGCCCAGATGGAGAGCAATGACTAGCAGAAAACACTACCATAAAGGTTTCTGTAGCATCGGCAGCAACATCAAAATTTGGATGTTGTATATAGTAAAAGAACTTCTTCATATTTTCTGATTTAAAAACATACCTGAAAAGAAACCAAACAGATCAAAAAAATGACCATACAAAGATTAAAAGAGAAACAAGATATAGAATTAAAGCATCAGGAAAAAGAAATAATGAACTAGCATAAATGGCAATTGGGCTTCATTGTTCAAGGCCTACACAAATATCATAAAATAAAAGGAAAAAAGTTTCTAATCAAATCAATTTGAGCCAGTTAGATTTTGTTAATGTCAACACCCAGAATTTGAAAATTCCCAATTTTTGAAATTGAAAAACCATAAACTCTAATATTGAAATTGAAAAGCACTAAATCAAAACTCAAAACCCTAATATCTGGACATGTACCTGAAATTGGGTGGTGGGAAGAAAAGGTGTAAGAGCTCCGGTCAAAGGGAGAGGTGAGAGCTCTGTTTGCTTAGTTTGTTGGTCACGGCCGGAGAGAGAATCTAGGGACTCCGAAGAACTTCGTTTGCTATAAATGGTTATCGATAGAGAAGCGAAGGACTCCGACAATGGTCGTCGATGTCTGGCTTCCTTCATTCACTAGTCCCTGTGGCTCGACGCCGTCGTCTGCCATGCTTACAGTCGCGAGAGAGAGAGAGATATTTGGTAGAAAAGATTAGGGATTTTGGTTCTAAGACATTGGGGATTTTTGGGTTTTTTTTTTTTGCTTGGGCCCCCCGCCGTGATTGAATGAGAATGGATAAGAGGCTCGTGGGATTGACGTGAGGGGGCAGGGATGGCTATATTTCTGGGAGCGAACTCCGGGCGAATAAGGGAAAAAAATAAAATAATTTAGTTTCATCAAAAATGAATATTTAAATAATAAAATTATTATTACTATTATTATTTTTTTGTGACAGAGGTTGCTGTTGCCAAATAAATTTTTTTTTTGTTAAAATAATTTTTTTTTTTATAGTTAATGAATTTTTTTTTTATTTTTCATTTTCTTTTCGTTATTAAGGTTGAGAATTTATTTGTTTCATTTTTATTTTAATGAATAAAAAATTATTATTATTTTTTTTTATTTGGTAGAAGTAAGGATAATATTTTAATGAAAAATATTTTCTATAAAAATAAAGTTATTTTTTTGTGGTCAATGAAAAATATTTTTCTGTGACCTGTTTCTTGTTTGTTACTAAAAATCAGGAACTAATTTTTTTGTGGTAGAGGATAGGGAGCAGCAGTAGTGGTGAAGGTGGTGGATGAGAGGTGATAGTGGTGGTGGTGGCAAAGGAGATTAGTGGTGAAGTTGTGGTAGTGGTAGTGATAGAGGAGATAGAGTATCGGTGGTGGAGGAAAGGTAATGGTAGTCGTAGTGGTGGTAGTGGAGTGGTGGCGATAGTGGTAGTAATAGTAGTCGTAGAGGTTGAGTGGCAACAACGGTAGTAGTGGTGGTAGTGGAATGAAATTTGTAATAGTGGTAAATGTGGTAGAGGAGATGGGTGGTGAGAGAGAGAGATGAGTGAGAGACAGATAGAGAAGAGAGATAGATAGATAGATAGATAGATAGATAGATAGAGAAAGAGACAGAGTGAAGAGCGATAAAGAGACAAAGTGGTCGCTAAAAGTGCATTTTCTTGTAGTGGATCGATAAATCGAAAGGGAGCTCAATAAATAAAGAAGATATGAGGGAGAGAGTTAGCAAGGCGAACATAGTGGGGAAGAGAGACAGACAGACAGACAGATAAACAGACAGGCAGACAGAGAGAGAGAGAAGAGTGATGAATGAGATAGAGAGAGAAAGAAAGAGATACAGAGAGATAGAAAAAGAGAGAGAAACAAGAGATGAGCAAGAGATAAACAAAAAGAGAGAGAAAGAAAGTGAAAAGAGATTAACGAGAGAGAGACATAGAAAAAAAAAAGATAGAGAGAGAAGAGAGATGAACGAGAGAGACAAAAAAAAAAGAGAAACAAAAGATGAGCGAGAGATAGACAGAGAGAAAAAAAAAGAGCGAAAAGAGATAAACGAGAGAGAGACAGAGAGAGATGAACGAGAAAGTGAGATAGATAAAGAGAAGAGAGACAGAAAGAAAAGAGAGATAAAAAGAAAAGAGATGGGCGAGAGACACAGAGAGAAAGAGAGAAACAGACAGAGAAGAATGATGAGTGAGAGAGAGAAAGAGAAGAGAGACGGAGACAAAGAGAAAAAGAGAGAGACAGACAAACAGACAAAGAAGAGTGATGCGTGAGAGAGAGAAAGAGAAGAGAGACAGAGATAGAGACAGAGAGACAGGAAGATGAAAAAATGGGTGAAAAGAGAAATGTTATATCAAAAGAGTAAGACGACGTCGTAAAAAACTCTATTTATTTTTTTTTGCGACTGCAGCTGGTGCCGTCGCAAAAATACTCTATTTTTTTTGCGACAGCAATTTCTGTCGTCGCAAATACTCTATTTTTTGCGACGGCAAGTTGTGCCGTCGCAAAAAGTCACATTTTTCGCGACGGCAAGTTGTGCCATCTCAAAAAGTCACATTTCTTTGCAACGACAAGTTGTGTCGTCTCAAAAAGTCACATTTTTTGCGACGGCAAGTTGTGCCGTCTCAAAAAGTCACATTTTTTGCGACGGCAAGATGTGTCGTCTCAAAAAGTCATATTTTTTTGCGACGGCAAATTGTGCCGTCTCAAAAAGTCACATTTTTTGCGACGACAAGTTGTGCGCAAATGTGCCATCGCAAAAAGTTCCGTCTTTTAAACCCACTTTTCTTGTAGTGTAAGGCTTTTCTCTCACCGACAGATTTACTGCATCGGTGTCTGTAAATAAACCGCTGCTCATAGCAAGATTCTCTTCATAAGGCCCACCTGAATTGATGGGATTGCAATCACCCATCCTCGATTTAGCATAACTTTGTGCATAAAAAGACACATTGTTGTCCCAAGTCTTAGGTCCAACACCCACTTGGGCACGAGCTGCGTTGTGGGCATTGAGGTAGTCTTGTGACAAGTCTAAGCTCATGAGACCTACCAAAGCTAATGAAAACTCCATCTTCGCTTTTGGTTCCATGATACAAAGATTTCACAAGTAATTGATGCGAAATGAGGCTTGATTGAGGGGATATTTATAGGAAAAATCCATGGAAATTTGAACTTTGAATAGTATGTGGAAAGAGAAACCATTGGCTAGCTGAAGTAACCCTATAGTCACGCACACTTCCCCCTTGGACAGAAACCTTCAACTTTGGATAATGTTTGAAAACTTTAGGGGAAATTTTATAAAAAAAAAAAAAAAATCAGAGTTTGGCTCTTGTAACAAAATAAATTTTGAGTTTTTAATTTTTTTTTCAATTAAACCATGAACTATTTATTTGTTTTTAATCTGAACTATTTGCTTATTTTCGTTAAGAAAAATTAATGGAAAAAATAATATTTTAGTCAGTAAATTGAGTTTAACGACTAAAATACTATTTTTTATCGATTTGATTAATAAAAATAGGTAAATGATTTATATTGAAAATAAATCAAAATATTAGAGTTTAAATTGCCAAATTAAAAAAAAATTCTGGATTATCATGACTGGATTTAATCTCAATCTGTTATTAAATTTTTTTTATTGACTATTCTGTGATTCATTTTAGTCTTCTAATATTATTGATCTTTTTTTCCTTAATAACACGTTTAATTGAATATGAGAGAATCCAAATATGAGACATCCAAAATATAAATTACATATAAATATTATTGAACTTTTTACATTTTTAGAGTCTAAAATTGAATATGCAACGCAATGCACGGTAAAACAAACTTTAATTATTCAGGAGAATTACTTTTCAGTTGTACATTTAGAAAAATATTATAAATACATAAAAAAATTATTATTAATATTTATAAAATTTATCATTAATTTATAACTTGTTTTTAAAATTTGGACTGATTTGTTATTTCTTTGAATTATTTTTACGAAAGGGCCTGCATTAATGGTCACAAATTTTGAAGACTGTTTGACCGCTAAAATCAATGGAGGCACATGCTCCCTTGACTTCACCGTTTGGAGACGTGTGATACCCGTCACCAGTTTTATTTTAATGATTAAATTTATTTATTTTGTAATTTTTTGTGTATAAATTATTTCTTTTAATAAGACTAAACTATCCTTTTTATATTTTCTTTCATTTCTCTTAATTTTTTTTTTTTTTTTTTTTTTTTTTTTTTCCCCCCCCCCCCCCTTTTTCTTTTTTTTTTTTTTTTTTTTTTTTTTTTTTTTTACACATCAATCAATCAATTTTTCTCTCACACCTATCTATTCAACTACAAATTTTTTTTTAAAAAAAAACTACCAATCATCCCAAAATTATTTTCAAAACTAATAACCAAACAAGTTTTTACTTTCAAAAACTCATCTTTCAAAATACAACTAAAAATTCTTTTTAAAAACTAAACCAAACAGAGCTAAAAATCTCACAACACATTCATTACAAAAAAATACTAAACCCTACCTCTATATTCCATTTTTTTTTTCCACTCACTATTTCACCTTTGAAAATAAGTTTCGTACAAATTTATATATTTATATACATATATATATATATATATATATGAAAATCCATGACAATAATAAAATAAATATATAAAGAGAATACTATCAACTTAAATATAACTAAGCTTCTATTTATAGCAAATTGTTATCTATTTTTTTATTTGGTAATTCAGGGTATTTGAGTGTGCTTACACATACCTAACCAAAGTCATTACAACCCCTCTCACAGACCTTTCACCTTGCCTACTCCACTATCGCCCCTCTCATTTCCTCCACACTTGGAGTTATCACCAACTGTCATTTCTAGTTATAGTTGCTTTTTCATGCTCTTCTTCGGAGGGGTTTAGTCTCCTCGAATGCGATTGCCCTACAGTTCGAATTCCCGTAATTTTGAATTTGGTTTCACAAGTGCAATGTAAAATAAAAAAATGAATGAGAGTCCAAATCTGGCAAATCCTAGAACATCCATTAATCATCAGAGATGCCAAAAATGGACT